TGAGGCCAAAATAGAAGTGGTTTGCTGTGTGTGGTTTAATGGAAATGTGAGGACACTTCCCAGAATAAGATCTCGCAGTGACACTGTGAGTGCTGGGGCTGTTGCTAAGACTGAAGCTTGTTTGCTGCCATAGTTTGTTGCCATTTGGGAAAGATATGAGAGATCATACAAGTGGTGTCAGTAAGAGGTAGTAACCTCAGAGCTTTTCAATGCCTTTTACAGTGGCTGGCTGGATCCAGAAGAGCAAGAGCCATCTCACAAGGTTTTGGTTTCAAGCCACCCTACCTAGTGTGTGACTGCCAAGGTGATAGTCTGGTGTACAGAAATACTTCTGGACAGACAGGCCTGGAGTGACAGTGGCTGCTTGGTACACATGTTCACCTTGACCAAAATCTCTGCGTACCAGTGTGGTTGTAGCTGCTCCCCCTGTCAAGAGAAGGAGCATCCTGACAGCACTGGTGAATCATACTGCTGTGGTCTGCACTGGGAGATGACACCTGGGAACAGAGAGCTCCCTATGGCACAGCACCCCAGGAAGGAGCAGATTTTGCTTCAACCCTGTATGCCCCATGAGCAAAGCATATGGATGGCACCCATGTTCTACACTGTTCTAAGCATCTTTGTAGCAAATACAACCAGCAGCAATGGAGCATTCGGCCAACCTCCTTCCACAGACCCACAGCTCTGGTTTGCAGAGAGGATTTTGCCATATTTTTGATGAATCTGATTTTTTCCCCCAAGAAAATGCAACCAACTCCTCAGCGTAAGTGATCCTAAGTACTATTTCAGTCAGGATTTAATTCCACCCCCCCACAAAGCAATTTACTCTCCTTGGGAGACAAGGGCAGGCTCTGTGCTTTTCCATCCCATGCAGAGACTGAACATGTCCCTGTCCTGCCTCAAAGGGTCCATGCAAAGGGCTGTCTTGGAGGAAGGTTGGCACGAGTCTTTCCATCAACTTCAGCAGTCCTGGGCAGCAGGTTTGCTGCAAGTATGTCCTAGGAAAGTGAAGCAGATCTGCAAGGCCTCGCTGAGACACTGGCACTCCTCACCCCAGTGCTGTCTCAAGATGCAAAATGTGTCCCCATAGGGATAGTGAGAATAAACATCTGAACTTTTACACACTTTGGTCTGCTCTCTGGCAGGTGTCCCTTCTGTCAGGAGGTTTCTGTATGGCCTAAATGTCTCCTTTAAAGCTGACACATTAATACTGCTCTTGTGCCATCTTCTGAGACTGAAATGTCTCTGGCTCTTTAGCCAAAGAGCAACTCCCTGCCTCATTTTACTGTTCAGCCACTCACATGTTTGTGAAGAGTGATCTGAACTCTGCATCCCAGTGACACCACCAGAGGAGCGTATCCTAATAAGGGTGAAAAGTAAGTTCATTCCAATCCTTTCTGAGACCAAAAGAAATGTATTCTGGAAAATAAACAGGGATTCATCTGCTTATTAGCCATAACTGTCCCTGAATTTTGTCTGGTTGTTATGGAAATGCCTGTGGTGCCAGTGGGCACTGCCCCAGCTCCCATCTGAGCTAGCTATCAACACCTCCCTCCAGCTCACAGAGGACCACAAAGTGCTGTCACCCAGTGAGTGCTTCCTGCTGCATCCTACAGTCCTCCAAAAATGTTGTCTTTGTTCTGGCTGCAAACAGCATCATGAGGATTTATTACATCCATCTCACTAAATCCCTTCAGTGTTCCCTGAGGATAATGCATCCAGACCATAGGCTGGGACAGTCAGCCCTGCCATGAGCTTGCTGTAGGACTGAACATTGCCTTTTAAAGCTCTATGGACCATGTTCTCCTGGGAGCAACTTTAGCAAATTTCTGTGGATACAGAATATGTTTCCTCTGGATAAAACCTAATAGTCTATCCCAAATTCACTCCTGTATCACCATCCTAGGAAAAGAAATCTCCAGAGTTATCTGTGTGCATGGCTGAAACTTGTCTCCATGCCTCTCCTCATTCCACCTTGCTGAGGTGAGCAACTATAGCACACTTGAGGTGCCCTGAACATGTGAAAAATTAATCTAAACAGCACTGAGGAAAATTTGGGATAGTTATCCCTAACTGGACTAGCCCTAAATTATGTCCCCCCAAAAAACAGCTGCACTCAAAAAAGCCAGAGCTTTGCTGTAGCCTCAAAGCATCCCTCAGGGTAGCAGAAGCTCAGGGAGAAAAATTTTCCAACAAGTGTTTTGCCACAGCTCTGTTGCACAAAGTATGTGCACACAACAGCTGTAAAGAAGCTTTGGATAGAAGCAAGACAAGGGTTTGCAGACAGAAGGGGATGTTTTACTAGAACAGTCGACATTTAGCTGGAAACTACTTTGCCACATGCAAACTCATGGCTGGATGGCCAAGGATATCTGCTCTACAGACCCCTGACTATATCCTTGATCACTATGCCAAGCTGAAGGGGCAGCTCATCTTCCACCTCCATGGTCCATGCCCGATGTATCTCCCAGATCAAACCTTTCACTCTGAGCTCAGTACAAGATGATCGGCATCCTGCATCCTTTCACAGCCCTTCCATCCTATTCCCTCTCACAGCGCTGTGTCCAACCTCTGCCCCTGTCCTGGAGTCCACAGACCCTTCTCCTCAGCCAGTGTTCCCCCTCCTCGTGCTCGCACCATCATGCTGAGCTGCGTAGCGTTTTTTGGGAATCCCACTCCCTCTAGTGGTCCCTCTCCGGCAGGTGAAAGACGTGCTTGGAGGTGGCTGGTTGTATAAGGGATAAATACAGCACAACTCACACCTTGTGTTGTCCTGCTCTGACCTTACGTGCTTTAGAGGCATCACTGAGGGAGCAGCAGCATCTTCACACCCTGAAAGCAGTGCAGCGCTGGGGCTGCGTAGGAGCAGAGCCACAGCAAAACATTCCCAATCATCCAGGCAGGGGAAAAAATGGGAATCACTGAGACAGCCCCTGTAGGAACTCTCCTAGGGGACTCTGGGCATAGGGCTTGAAAAAGCCAGTTCCTCTACAGAAAGAAGCCAGGAGAGGAACACTGATGTGGGTGCCCGTACCCTGGTCAGAGGGAATTCCTGAGCTACACACACACAGCTACTAGAAACCCTGGAAAATTGCTTTACAGTTTAAAAACTCAGTGCCATCTTTATTCCTAATGATGGTAGCTCTGTGACATTAGGCCAAGCTGGGACAGACTCTGCATGCAAAGATATTTCAGAAGTAATGATGTTCTTGAATAAACTCTCAGTGTAACAGAAAAGAGAGCACAAGATGCTTCCAGGAGCTGAAGTGCCTGTCATCCAGCCCCAACAGCCACTTGTCCTAATGATGCTGGAGCACACTGTGTGCAGTCCAGTCACTATGCAGCACAACACCGTGGGGGAGCAGCTCAGCCCCTCCAGCCCTTCCAGCAGCTGCTCTGAAGGAGAGATCCATTGACATTTAGGTATTGCCTTGTAGTATTGAGAGCCCTCACAGCCAAACACCCTGTCTGAGGTTCCCACAGCAGCCAGTAGCCCTGGGAGAGCAGGCAAATACTTTCACAGATGTCAGCAGTTGCTTTAAACCTTTCAGTGCTGGAGAAGAAGAGAGGAAAGGCTGAACTGGAAAGACTTAAAAGTTCATGAAGAAACACACGTTCTCTGGGCTGTTTGCTTCCCCTCTGTGACTCTGACTCGTCTCTCCTGGGGAATGGAGGTTTCTGTGCAAGGCAGGCAACAAGATACTGAGTTGGAAACATGAGGACTTTAGAGCAGGCTGAAGCCTATTTCGGTCTGTCTGGAAATCACAACAGAACTGGTGATTTCAGGGACTCAAGCCAAACTCCCAGATTCAGCCCTTTCCTTTAAAATAGACTATGCCACTCTGCCTAATCAGAACAGGATGGTCTCCTCCAAACAGCCAGCTGACAGGCAATGTCCCATGTCTAGATACTGACCTGTCCAAAGAGATAGGCCAGGAGGCAGAGGTTGTCCATGTGGACAGAGAAAGAGGAGGAACAAGAGCAGAAGGAGGTGGGAGGAGGAGATGGGGAGCAAGCTGGCAGCTGAACAACAGAGGAGCCACTGAGAGGCAAACACACCACTGTGACACTGAGGTTCCTTCTCCAGCTGCAGGGATTGGGGGGCTGCAGCCAGAGTTCACAGGGAAAACAGCTCTACTGCCCTTTTGTTCCTATAAATCTGAGATCACCTGTCCAGGACCCTGTCTGAGAGGTGAGTCCTCCTGGCACAACATGACTTAGCCCTCCTCTCCTCAGGGAGGCAAACTAACTAACTAGCCAGCAAACATGCCTGCACTCCTGCCTCTCCAAAGTGATGCTGCAGCCTTGTCATTCTCTCTTTCTCCAGGGAGCCCACCTGTGCTGCCAGACCCCAGCTCAGCTTGGGGGGTTTCTTTGCAGAAAAACAACCCTCTCCACTCCCCCCACAAAGGGAAGCAAAATACTGTAGCACCTCATCCCCTGCCGGAATGCTCCTCAAAGCACTAAGCCCCTGCCAGTGCTGCCTGCAGCCCAGCATGCTGGGGGAGCTCCTACCTGCTTGCGGGAGCTCAGGGCCCCCTTGTTGCCCCGGCAGGAGAGCTTGAGAGAGCTGCCCTGGTGCACGGAGCCCAGGCAGGAGTGCTGCGGGGTGGCAGGCAGGGGGCTCATGAAGAGGATGCGGGCAATGAGGCCATAGAGGACAGTTGCCAGCCCCAGTGGGATGACATAGAAGACAGCAAAATCCAAGAAGTAAATGGGCATGTAAAGGCTTCTGGAGACCCGGTAGCCACAGCTGACTTGTGCCCCATCCGAGAAGGTGACCTGGGTCGTGTCCACCAGGAAGAACCACATGAGGCAATAGAGGGAGGTGAAGAGCCACAGCGAGGCGATGATGCGCTTGGCACGGGACACGGTGCACAGGAGCTGTGCTTTGATGGCGTGGCAGATGGCGATGTACCGCT